TCTTTCCTGATCTAATTAAGACCAGGAGAATATTTGCATCCTTTCAGAGATGAAGATTACTAATCCAACATCCCAAAGATACTGTCTATCATTCAGTTTCCCAAGTGTTCCCCAAATGGCCTGAACAGCCAGGTGCTATTCTTATAGCCCGCTCTCTTAAATTTGACATTGTTTAGAAGGGCCTGACTATTTAGCATACCTATGTTGGATGCTTATTGTCATTGATGACCTCTCTTGAGTAATTTAGACCAGAGGTTCTCAACCTCCAGGACGCAAAGGGTTGGCTGCCAGACCAGAAGTCCAGAAGTGACTGGCATACTGTGGACTGGCAGCCAACCTCTTTTTTTACTCATATAAATATGCTGTGAAATATGAATTTTCATTTCTACCTAGAAAAACTTTTACAACCTCTGCTTTCTCCTATGCTTGATGAAGGGTGTGTGCACCCAAAAGCTTGCAAATAAATAGAATAATTTATTTGCAAATATCTAGTTGGTCTAATAAAACATATTACCTCTTCTACAAGTTTTGATTCCTTTCATCTCTAGACCAATACAGCTGCAACTTGGATACTTGAATTGTAGTAGAGTTTGTGATACCTACAACCTGCAATTGATCTGAACAACAAACCCAAATATTGCTTTTGTTTTTTACTGGTTGTGGTATTGTCAATTTATCAAATACAAAACAGTATGAAAGGAGGAGCAAAGGAATCATGGATTCAGAGAGAGATTTTGGTTACTTAGATATTTTTAGGTATATAGAGAAATAAAAGAGTTTACGAAGTTATAAGATGGTTCTATAAATCTGCCTTTTAATAATTATTCTGCTGAATGGATTTTTTGAAGAAAAGATATTATATACAGAGCATAATAATTATGTATAATGCATTGCATTTTCTCCATGAAATCAATACTTTCAATTTCTGTGATGCATCAAAGATTAGCACCAATGCTGGAGCTGCAAACTTGAATCCTTGAAATGAAACTGAAGCAAACTTTGACACTATGGGGTATCCTGTGAAGAGACTAAATTCATTTTATTAATATTTTAAATCTTACCACT